GTACTCCAGAGTGTTGTTTAGCATGGGGGTGAGTGGAAAATGAAGGCTAATCATGTTTTGGGTGTACTATTCCTTTAAGTGTTTGCCGAGCTATTTGGTGAAATCTGACATTCTTCTTCTTTGACTCTGTCTCTACCTGATACTGACTGAAATATATCTATGGAAGCCGCTGTCCGTACTCCACTTTCTGTGTTGACAGCCACTGTTTGCAATTAGTTTCCATGCTGTATTTCCCTTTTGTACATCATTAAGGAGCACAACACAATTGTATAATAATAGTCTTAAAGTATCTTTTTATTGGAGATTTTAACCCTATTTCTCAACAACTGCTCATTTAAGCAGCATTACTTTTATCTGAATGAGATTGTATCCGTGTTACTATTCCATACATATATTTGAATTTATTTAGGAAAGTGATGTGAAGAGCTTTAAGTTGACCGGGCTCTTTTACATAACTTTTACATAACCTACATCACACTGGTGTCAGTTTACCTCTTGGACTACAACACAACAACTCCACTTTCTGAGTGACTACAGCTGTTATTTACACAAATAACTATAATTGGAGCAAAAAACAGTATTGTAGGGAAATGTGGATTTTAACAGAGACTTGGCGGGTCAAGATAAAAATGTCTTATTGAATAGTTTTGCAATATTTATAGAACTACTGTTCACCTTATCTTAACACGTGACAAATGATACTTGTTGTAATGCAGAAAAGCACTGGCTTTAAGGTGGAGCAGAACTGGTTTCAGGATATCCTCATTCTTTAAATGTAGGCACAAAATACATATTTTTTTATTTTGTTCCTGGTTCCTTATTTGCTTCCTTATGGGGGAAAATATCTATAAGAACTACAAACATTTTGGCAAGCCTTGAAGACTCACAGAGTAGCACATCATCAGATGTGATAGATGCCCAGCACTGAGTAGAAGCTCCTGTACTTAAAGAGAAACTAGGGTGAGTACATCCTGCAATATTTACCTTTTACAAACCCTTTGATGAAATGTAATTACTTTATAATTAGACAAATTTATGAAAAAAAAAAAAAACTATCATTATGCCTTTTTTCAGAGATTTGAGTTATGGATTGCAGGCTGATTGTCCTGGTCTTTACAGGTGGGTGAATTCTAATTTATTTTTTTAGCTTAGTCTACATTTTCTACATTTTCTTCAATCTTCTAACAACTTGAAAATTCTGTTTTGATTTAGCTGTTGTGCTGTCAGATAAGCAGGGTGTTATGTAAGATCCATGATGTCATTAACTTTAAAGTTACTACTGGAAAAATTTTTGTTTAAGCAGAGAGAAAATATGTCATCTTTCAATGGGGTTGTGGGGGCGGCATTCATGGGGTCACAGCAGCAGCAATCAGACTGCCCTATCCCCAAAATCTTCATCCAGCTCTTCTGGGCGATGCCCAAGGTATTCCACGGCCAGCCGAGAGACATAATACCTATGGTGTGTCCTGGGCTTTCCCTTTAGCTTTCTCCCAGAGGAGGCATACATTCGGGTTCCAAAACAGATGTCCCCGCCACCTCAGCCTACTCCCATCATTGTATAGGAAAAGTGGCTTTACTCCAAACCTCTCCTAGATTGTCTTGCTCTTCATCCTTTCCATGTGTAACGCCTGGCCACCCAGTGAGGGGAACCCATTTTGACTGCTTGTATATACGATCTTGTTCTTTTGGTCACAACCCAGCTTTCATGACAATTGGTTAGGGTAGAAATGTGGACTGACCGGTAAATGGAGAGCTTTGTCTTTTGGCTCAGCTCTCTCTTCACTACAGACCAGCGCAGCATCTGGTGGCATGGTAACATAAGGGAAACATGAGGAGCACCGTATGATGCCTTGAAGTTGGGCAAACTCCCATGAACCTTTGAGTACCCCTCAGAGGGTTTACTGTAGAGCTGAATTAGTGACTATGGCTGTGATGAAAACCGCACTGCTCCTCCTGAAGCTGAGGTTCAGCATTTAGCCAGACTCTCCTCTCCAGTACCCTTTGAAAGGCCTCCTCCTGGGGACTGAGAAGTATGATCACCCTTTAGCTGAAATAAACCCTTGCCCCCCCTTCTTTTTAAGAGACCAACTCCCCATTCTGCTACTCCTTGAGCATTGTGATAAGGTGCATGAACCACAACATCTAAAGATCTGAGGTAATCCGGGTGGATCTCATCTACCCCCAAAGACTTGCCACTGTAGAGGAAAATGCTTCCACTGTATGTG